TTCATAAAATCTTAGGCTTTATCTCGTGGTTATGCACATTTGAGTAAGATACGTGATGCAAGGAAATTTTATAGATGAGAATGCTTCTCAGAATGCCATAAGGCAAAGTGCTCAGGTGGAGTCAATAAAATTCAGAGGAGTACAAGGAGAAATAATCAAGTCTGAGCCTCAGAGCCCAAAGGACATGACCACAAGTTAGCAGCCATAGTCACGACCCCACGCCACCAATGCCTAATGGCCAGGGTCACATCTGGGCCCTGTTCTGGAAATGCATTTCATTTTCTCTCCCATTAATTACACACCCACTGGATCCCTACATCCTCCCCAAGCCTTCTTAGCATGTCCCTGGTTGCTCCCTGTCTGGACATGGATCTCACAAGGCCACTCTTCTCACCTGTCACAAACTCCCCATGCCTCTCCACACATAAAACAAAATGGATTAATCTTTGTGTGCAATGTAAATAACTGACTTCCTTACTTTGTTAACTAACAATTCTTCTCTTTTGTCCATGAACCCTGAACTCATGTGTATCTTAATGTGAGCCCCTGGCAGGTAAATCTTTTAAAGATTTCATGCTCTATGACCCAGGGTGAACCTGAAGTCAGCCAAATTAACAGACAAAGCCTTGCCTGTCTGACCCTTCTCTGTCCTTCCCTGCTATCTAGATGTCCCTCTATCAGATCCTTCATATAGCTAGTGTGCAGCTGAGGTTTTCTCCTCACAGTGCTCTCAAATCTCACTCTCAGCAGCTCATTCATACAGTAAGGTCATTTAACTGGCTATCTAAATTTTCCCCAAGGTCTTGAATTTTGACCTACTCTGTACTAAAGACTAAAAGACTTAGAAGGATGGGGTGGGAGTGGAGGGGGTGGGAGGAGTGATACATAATATCCAAAGGTTTGGATTCAGTATCAGAGACCCTGCTTCTCATCTTAGTTCTGCTACTCTTTAACCCCCAAAGTTCCTCCTCCAATCTGGACCTCAGTTTCCCATCTGTAAAATGAGAGCATAGGACATAGGACTAGATGATCTATTCCTTTCTATCATCCCATGCCTTCATTCCATCCAAGCACAGAGCAGAACTGTGAGGAGAACACAGACTTTGGGACAAGAGATACCCAAGTTTCAATCCTGGCTTTGCCATTATTCAAAGGATTGTTGGCTCTGGGAAACAGGGGGAGCAGGTAAGACACTGGGCAACGCCTCCAGTAAGGAGCCCCAGAAATCACACAAAGAGGGAGCAGCCTATACCAAGTATGATTTAAAAGAAAAATTCAGAAAAAGCTGTCTGCTAGGGGATGGGCTCCATCAGGACCTGAGCCGAGGGAAGCTGCGCCTCAGTTACCTGGGAACTCCCAAGTCCAGGGAGGTTTAATCAGTAACCTGAACAATAGGTGAGATGATTGGGAAGGCAGGGAGTGAGATTGGGCACTTAGTTTATTTATAGGACTACTCCTACACCAGTTTTGAGGGCAAAAAGTGCCCTTTCCCTGGCAACGGTAGTCAACAGACTTTCACCTGCTTGAACTATGGACTTGGGGAAGTCTTGCTTCCAAAGAAGAGGAGTCTGAATTCCATCTTCTACGTGTCATTAGACAGATGCCACTTAACTAGCTGAACAGAGGAGTTCCCGCAAGTGCATGGTGACCTCCCCACCCTCCAAGCTTACATTCCTTTTTCTCCTCTTACTTTGCTGCCCTTCCCTCCCTCAGGAAAACTTGATTTGTCCTCCCCTTCCAGTGCCCCTTCCAGGCACTTCCCAGTGCAGGCTCTGCACACTGATCTCTAATGAAGCAGGGCTATAAAACCCAGGGTTTTCATCTTGTAACTAAAACTAACCCTGAAGGACGGGAGGAAAAGTGGAGGAGGTGGAGTCATCACATTGGCAGGAAGAGCACGAAGGCACCAATGGAGCAGCAGCAATTTGAATCAGGAAGCTGGGCAGCAAGGGAGCAGTAACCCTGGGCATTAGTCCTGACTCCAAGACAAACCCCTATCTGCCCTCTGGGTGAGAACATGTTTTCATTGAGCTGTGTAAAAAACATATGTGCAAGGCTGTTCAATGGGGAAACGATAGTCTCTTCCTCAAATGGTGCTGAAAGTTCTGGATATCCACATGCCAAAGAATGTAGTTGGACCCCTATCTCACATCTTACACAAAAATTAACTCAAAATGGATCGAAGACCTAGATAAAAGAGCTAAGACTATAAAACTCATAGGAGCAAATGTAGGAGTCAATCTTTATAACCTTGGCTTTGGCAGTGGGTTCTTTGGTGTCACTAAATCAATGAATTCAATGACAACAAAAGCATGAGCAACAAAAGTAAAAGTAGATAAAGTAAACTTCATCAAGATTTAAAACTTTTGTTCACCAAAGGATACTATCTACCAATAGAAAGTAAAAAGGTAATCTACAGAATGGGAGAAAATACTTGCAAATCACATATCTAATCAGGGTCTATTATCCAGAATATTAAAAAAATTTTTTTTTAATTTTAAAAAGCTCAACAACAAAGAAGACAAACAACCCAATTAAAAAAAAAAGTTTGTGCATGTCAGCCAGTACTGGAAGGTAATAATATAAAAGGGAAAATAATTGTAGTAGGCTAAAGGTTTATTTATATATATACAATTTCCTTTAAAGAAAACACAATCAAATGCAATGTGTAGACCTCATTTGGATCCTGACTCAAACAAATCAACAGTAAGAAGACATTTTTGAGATAATCAGGAATATCTGGATACGGACCAGACATTAAACTACCTAAATTAAGAAATTGCAACATTTTGTTGTGATAGTAGCACAATAGTTAAGGTTTTCAAATGTCAAAGGTGCATTCTGAAGAATTTGCAGTGAAATGACGTGATGTCTGGGATTTGATTTAAAATATTGCTGGGGAAAAATTGTAGAAGGGGATAGATGTACTAAGAATGGCAAAATGTTGATCATTATTAAAGCCGAGTGATGAATATTAGGGCATGAGTGTTTGTTCTACTATTCTGTCTCTGCTTGTCTGTGTCTGAAATTCTCCAAAATAAAAAAGTTGCAAATGTTATTTGATATTGTTGTGTCAGCTTTAAGTGAGCAGGAAAACAAAAGTACAAGCAGCTATTTTTCAGCACCCTACCTAGGAAGAGCAGAAGGCTCAAATCAGATCTAACCTGACTCAAATTTCAGCCAGGGAAGATCTTTTGCAAGGTGCTGATATTGATCCAATCTCACCTTTGGTGCTAGATGGAGAAAGACAAAAGAAAAAAGGAGGAAAACTGACCACAGCCAATGAGATAACCCCCCTGATAGAAGAGTGAGCGCTTTATAGCTGCTGACTAAGGCGCAAAGCTGGAGTCACTCCCTATGTGATCTCAGAAAAATGCCACTTCTCTCTCTCCCTTGAATTTGGCAGTAGATTCTTAGAAATAGCACCAAAAGTATGAGCAACAAATGAAAAAAAAGAGATAAATTTAATTTCATCAAGATTTAAAGCTTTTGTGCATCAAAGGATGCACAAAAAAACTTTTGTCCAAGCTACAGAATGAGAGAATATATTTGCAAATCATATATCTGACAAGGGTCTAGTATCCAAAATATATAGCCTTCTTCGATTGCTGGGTTAGGGTGCTAACACAATGCAAGGGGCTTCTCACAGAGACTGTAAAGGGTTCTCACGTTCATCATCTTATCTTACATTCCAATGACACTTCACGTTTTCAAATAAATCTATTTGATCCTCATTACCACCCAGTGAGGTAGACAAGGCAGCAATTCTTATCCCCATCTTGCCCACTAAGAAGCTAAGCTCTGGGGAGATAAAGCAATATGCCATTTGCCCCAGGTCACCTGCTGCTGAGCAGTGGAGCATACCTGGAGTCCAGATTCATCCACAACCCCATACTTCCTCCAATTATTCTCCTACGTAGTTACCTTAACAAGGTCCTATTTTCTTTCTGTTATTCATTATCATTCACACTGGTTTTTTTTCTTTTTTCCACTGTTGCTTTAACCTTTATCAGACTGACAATTACCTTGGGGATAAAAAAAGAAAAAATGCCAGGCAAAAACCTATAAGCAAACTTTTTCTTCCCGCCATCTTTTGGGCTGTCGGGGGAGTATCTCAGAACTTCAGTGGTCTCTTAGCTCTTCTGCTTTGTTTTGTTTTACCATCAAAAGGAGGTGATGTGCACATTTTTAAGGAAGGAAGGAAAAGTGAAGAAGGAATACAAAACTTGCTCCAGTGGGTCATCCCAGAGCTCTGAACAGCTCCCAAATATACCCCAGTGGCCAGCCAATCCCTAAGCAATCTCAGCTCTGCATATTGGGGCGCCTGCAGCTTCAGGTTGGCAGGGAAACAGGCTAAATGGTAGAAGGGAGCAGCTCCAATGGTTGGGTTCAGAGAGAGTGGCAATTGTCCAGAGGGTTAGAGACCAAAGGCCCAGGGAGTTGATTCCAAGCAAATACAAGAAGTCTTGTTCAGAGAAAGGGCAGTGAGCTGGGGTCAGAGGTCTGGGTTCTAGTCCTGATTCAGGGTCCTGAGCAAGTATTTTCCATGCCCAGGGCTTTTGTTTCCCTGTCCGTAAAGAAAGAGGGAGACTCTCTGAGGTACCTACAAGAGTTGTCACTGACTGCTCAAGTTTAAGTGCATCAGAAATGTCACCTAGAAACAGATTCTGACCCTGACAAGGCACAAAGGCCCACAGCTACCTCTAAGTTTGGGGCCAGCCCTCAGACATCCTTTTTACTCTTCTATTAAGAACAGTTTTCACTGAAACTTCTTGAACCTGTTTATGTTTTCAACCTTCCCCACACTGGAGGATAAGGAATTCCATGGATTGGCTCCTTGATGTATGAAACAGGACTTTACCTTAAGGAGCAAGAAAGCTTAAGGGACCAAGTTAATGAAAACATAGGGCTACCCCTTAATGGGCCAGCAAATGCTGAGGTGTGAGAGGGGGCAGGTTATGAGACAGCCAGGGCCCAGCCTTGTCAGGCAGTGAACTCACCGAGATCTTGGTGAAAATGTAGAGCAACAGGGACAGAATAGAGAGGTAGACCTGGATCCGCTTGCCTCCAAATCGCTTCCTTAGGTACTCTGGCATTGTCACCACCTGCATGAGATGTAAGGGAGGTCACCACCAGCCACAGTGACCAAACAGCCCAGAGCAAGCAGAGCAGAGGCATCCACCCTGGTGTCAGAGATGCGATCAAGGCTTAACTTCATTGGTAGAGAAGTCGGCAGTGTGACCAGGTAGCTGTCCTCCAGCCATTTGCTCATCTCAACCCCACATGCCTTCCCACTGCAGAGGTATTATCCCAGGACACAGAAGGCACCCAAGAAACATCTTTTTTAATGAACACATGACTGTACATAACCAATAACGCAGATCTTCGCCCTGGAAGAGGAGGAGATAGATAGATAGATGATAGATAAATAGATAGATAGATAGATAGATAGATAGATAGATAGATAGATATTCCTATAAAAAGCACCTACTGTGAGCAAGACATCATAATAATGGTAGCATCTTTTCAGTGCACCAAACAAGGTGAGCAGGCTGTGTGTGTGCTTCACCCTGCTCTGCACACAGGCCTTGCCAAGGATTGTGGCTGCAGGTTTGCTCAACTGTTCTCCCACTTCCTTTCTGCACACTCCAACCACACTCTGTCTTGTTCCCTCAACCCTAAGCTTGCTGTCTGCTGGCTCCATAAGATGCAGAGCCTGCCCTGTGTTTCTTCCATATTTCTTTCAGTAGACTCACACATAGTAGGTGCTCATTATAGCTCACTTAGGAGATGACATTACAGGTGTCTTAGGTAAAATGTCAGAGAAATTTCTTCAAGAGACCAAGCATACATTTGATAGTTGAATACCAGCTGCATTCTCAGCAAACAAGACTTGCTGAGGTTTATAAACGAAGAGGAGATATGGTTCTTTTTCTCATGCTGCTTCCTGCCCAGGAGAAGAGGCACACAGTTATATATCATGAGCAAATGCATGGCGGTGCCTCGTAAATACACACCCAGTGTGAGAGGACATGATGCTTTAAAGGGCTCTGAATAGAGTGAGATTGCTTAGGAGGGCTTCCTAGACAGACAAGTCATGGCTGGGTGGATCTGTTTAACACACCTAAGAGCAGTCAGGAACTTTATTACCTGGGAAAGAAAGCCAAGGTACAACTTTTCTCTGCCATTTATCCCATAAAGTCTCCTCCACCTTACAGGAGGACCAAGCTCATGTATATACACTATTTGTCAGGAAGAAATGGAATAACAGAGCAGATACTTACCCCAGCCTTAATGTAAATGGGGACAAACACCCATCCCAGGACAACCACCAAAATCAGGGCCTGAAACCAAAAAAAAGGTAGAGTCAAACCAGGAGAAAACTTGTCCCTTTCTGCTGCTAAGGAGCAATCGCCTAGCATTTTCTCTTTGGTCTCTCAGAACAACTCCCTAGATGGCCATCAGAGACTGGAGGGGGCTTTGCCGCCTGACTAGCCCACAGGAATGGCAGTTGGACAACCATGGAGAGTGCCACAGGCAGCTGCCCACTGACGCTACAACTCCTTTTTCCTCTTCCCTAATTTATAAGGAGTAAAATGCCATTTAGAGACCTTTTCAAAAATGATGATAATAATAATGGAATTCTGGTGATAAGCATTTCCAAACCTCCAATATGGCTGAAAAGGTACTGGAGGGCTTGGCATTTTCAGAGAAGAAAGAAACACTGCTGCTGTCAGGTCAGTGGTTTTCTCATGCTGCTCTGATGGAAGGGGAGCAGGACTGTGGGGCTCATGAAACTGTGTGCCTCCTTCATCTGCATCCTAGGTGGCCCTGAGAGGTTACCTAAGACTTAAAGCATCTTGGAGCACAGATAGAACTAGCTGCCTGCCTGCTAACATTCTTTCAAGCTCCAGAACAGTCTGTGGTGTTACTCACGTTCCATTCAAAGCCACCAGTGGCAATGCCTGCAGCTGCTCCGGTCCCTGCCAGCCCCACAAAGTGGCCACTTCCAATGTTACTGGCGAAGAGAGAAGCTCCAATCTGGAAACACAAAGATAAAGTAGGGTGAGGCCTCTATGCTCCACCAGGACACCTAAGGGTGGGCTAAGCAGAGGAGGGACATGTCATCCAAGAGAAGGACAAGAAAGAGCAGAGGCAGGACAGGAACTTGACTGTGCAAGAGTCTGTTGGGACCACTGGTTCAGAAGGCCGGTGTGGGTACTTGGGTAATAATAGTGAAGATGAGAAGAAAAAATTGGGGAAGGGACAGGAGGATGTGTCCCCAGATCAGATCACCTGTGAGTCCTTTGTAAGCCCAATGCTCAATAGTGAAGAAGGCCTGGGAAACCCCACAGCCTGTCCCACACCCCTAGAAGTCTTCCAAGAGGCTGTGGATTGAGGAGCAGAGCCTATGCTATTCGTCCCTGTGTCCTCCAGCACTCCAGGTGTGCTGGCTTGGGACCTTGACCAATACAGGCTCTCAGTACACGGGGACAGTTTGATGAAGGAGCCATTTAAATGGGAGCCTCTGGGCCTCAGTCCTGTCACTTGTCAGAGAAGGCAGGCGGCAGAGCCAATGATTTCCAAGTGACTCCTAGCTGTTAAATTCTGTGATTCCATGTGGTCCCAAGTAATAAGAGATAATAGAAATAATAATATAATAATAATAATAATAATAATAATTCTCTAAGTCGATATAGTATTTTTTTTACAAAGGTCCCAGAGACCCCACAGACACATGCACAAAACACTGCATTTTTCAAAGATATACATATGTCTCAATACATAGTCTAGAAGACAGATTGGAAAAACATATATTAAATAATTAAGTATGGAAGCCTAGAAGAGGAAAGGAGAATGGGATTGTGAATGGAAGATGAAGGGGAAAACATCAGGTGAAACAAGAAAGGGATCTTGCACTAACCAGTCATGATTCTATGCCATCAATCCAATTGCATCTGAAGTCCAGGAGAACTCCAGAAAAGTCTGGAGGACTTTTCCAGAAAAGTCCAGGAGGAGGAGGCATAGCAGTATTTGATAAATATCAAACTAGTACAATTATCCTCATTCTTGTTGAGCGGATGGGTGGGAGGGAGGCTTGTAGTTTTTTATCTAATGCCCCTAAGATGGTGCAAATCTGAACAAAACATTTATTTCCCAAAAGACAGATTAAGAAACTCTCCTAACACTACCAGACGCTAACCCCAATATAAGGCAGTGGGCGCTGAGTGCCAAGTCAGAGGAGAGGGAGATCCCTGAAGGCCAGATTGAAAGGAGGTCCCGCAATAATGAGAAAATAGCTATATGAGGGCTTTCATTCATTTGTTCAACAAATATTAACCTTAGCATCTACTCAATATGTCAAACCTTATTCTAGACACCAGGGATTCCACTGTGAACTGCACAGGCAAAATCCCTACTTTCCAGAAGCTTATATTTTAACAGAAGAAACATAGATAAATGAACCAAAAAAAGAAGAAAAAGAAAGAAAAAAGATCTGAGAGTGGTAAGTGCTATGAAGAGAATAGAGAAAGTGTGATAGAGTGACTACTTAAATTGGAGAGTCAGGAAGTTCCCTCTGTGGGGGTGACCTCTAAGCTGAGATCAGAATGACAAAAGCCAACCATTCTGAGATCAGAGGAAAAGCATTCCAGCAGAGCAAACACACACACACACACACACACACACACACACACACACACACACACAGTGGGAAGGTCATCATGGTTGAGAAGCAGATAGAAGGCCAGAGTGGCTGGAGTGTGGTGAGAAAGGAGGAGGATGGTGTGAGATGAGGCTGGAAAGCTGGGCAGGGATAGGTCAATATAGTATTTTGTGGATTTTATTCCAAGTGTGATGGGAAGCCACTGGAGGGTTTTAAGCAGGGGAGGGACAGGATCTAATTTGCTGTCCAAGTGTAGAGAGTAGTGTTAAAGGCAAGGAAGCAAACAGAAACACACGTAGGGTGTTACTGCTGCATCTGAGTGAGGGCAGCGGTTTGGTCTTGGGTGGTGCCATCCAGACAAAGACAAGCATAGAGAGTGGGGTCTGTTTTCAGAAACAAAGTTGGCAGGCCTTGTTGATGGGTCAGACATGGGAAATGAGGGAAAGAGAAGTCAAGGGTAACTCTTAGATTCAGGACTTGAGTAACTTAGGAGGACACCATTCATTAAGAAGGGGAAACTGTGTACTTGAATTATTACCACTTAATGAGGCTTAATCTTTTGTTATCTGTACTTTAAAATGGTTGTACAACGTAGGCATGTTTGCCTTGTTAAAAGAATAGGACCCAGTAAACTTTGCATAAAGAAGTAAATTACCATTGCCTCTACCTATAAGTGGAATTCTCATGGTGTGAAAAGTTCTTCTATTGCCTTAGACTGCATCTTGTCCTCCTTATAACATAAACACTTAAGTGCTTTGTGAGTTGAAAGAAAGAGAAGGAGGAGGAGGGGAAGCCAGGAGGAAAGCTGGCTCTTTAGAGATATCCACCTTTTTCTCCTCAAAGCTTTATGGGAATAACAGCCCACTTTTAATCAAAATCCCTTTCTGCATGCAGCCTGTCTGTCCTGACCCCTTATCGTTTCATTCATCATCTCACATTTGATAAATTATTAAGCCTAATGTTGTACTATTAAGGACATAATTATCAGTAATGATTAACTGCATTAGATTAACCTTAAGTTCAAGAAGTCCTTCCAGCATGTCCTCAAGTGGGGATATTGGACTTTAAGCAGTTTTAAGCTTCCTGGGATACCTCCTCACCACCTGATGGAATGGGGGCCAGGAGAGCTATGGGGTTACCAGTGTGTCCTGGGCCCAGGTTCAGTTCATTTCTGTCAAGGGCACTGCTATCCTCCCAGTCACTCACCTTGGCCTCATCCTGGACTCCCTCCCATTACCCCGTGACCTGCACTCAATCACTTACCAAAACCTGAGTCTGTCTTCACCATATCATGAGACTTTTTATATTGCCTTGTGCTGGCTGTCATTATCTCTCAACTGGACCATGGCAACAGGCTTCTAGATGATCTCCAGTCACCTCCCACCCACATGGCCAGTTACCTTCCCAAAGCACAACTCTGATCACATCAACTCCCTATTCAGATACCGTCCCGGACCCCCAAATGGACCTGCCAAGCAGTCTTCTTGGAAACTCCAAGTTTAAAGACATAGTCCTAAACCCACTGAATAGAAGATATTTGTCAACGATATATCTGATAAGGAGTTAATATCCAAAATACATAAAACGCTCATGCAACTCAACACCAAAAAAAAAACAACCCAATTAAAAAATGGGCAGAGGATATGAAGAGACATTTCTCCAAAGAGGACATACAGATGGCCAACAAGCATATGAAAAAATGTTCAACCTCACTAATCATTAGGGAAAGGCAAATAAAAACCACAATGAGATACCACCTCACCCTGGTCAGAATGACTATCATCAATAAATCAACAAACAACAAGTGCTGGCAAGGTTGTGGGGAAAAGGGAACCCTGGTGCACTGCTGGTGGGACTGCAGGCTGGTGCAGCCACTATGGAAATCAGTATGGAGGTATCTCAAAAAACTGGAAATGGAACTACCTTATGACCCAGCAATCCCACTCTTAGGTATTTATCCAAAAAAACCCAAGACATTAATCCGAAAAAATGTATGCACCCCTATGTTCACTGTGGCGCTATTCACAATAGCTAACACTTGGAAACTACCAAAATGCCCATCAGTAGATGATTGGATTAAGAAACTATGGTACATTTACACAATGGAGTATTACTCACCTTCTTCCTATAAAGAAGGAAATAGTACCATTTGCAACAATATGGATGGAACTAGAGAACATTATGCTAAGTGAAATAAGTCAGTCAGAGAAAGACAAATACCATATGATCTCACTTATACGTGGATTCTAAAAAACTGAATAAATGAGAAATGTAAACAGAAATAGTCTCAGAGACACAGAGGAAAAACTGAGGGTTGCTAGTTGGGAGGGGGTGGTGATGAAGGAGAAGGGGAAGGGATGAGACAATACAAATTGGTAACTACAATATGGCCTCAGGGATAGAAAAGACAGCCTGGGGAATATAATCAATAATGTTGTAAATATTTTTTAGGGGGCCAAATGGACTCATGTCTTGTTAGGGAGACCACTACTTAGTTGGTGTAGAGGCCTGACCACCGCACTGTATGTCTGAAGCTGATGTTGAATAATAATGTATGTCAACTATAATTATATATACATATACTCACAGGACATGGAGTAGAGAGTGGAATGGAGTCAATGGAATTGTAATAGATATGTATGATATCAGGGGTTGGGGGGCAGCAGGTGGGGGGGTTGTCACTTTGTGAGGGGTGAAAAGGATAACTATTGCATTGTTTTGTACACCTGAAACTAATAATAATAATATATAAAAAAAGACATAGTCCTAGGAATTCAGAAAGGTTTCAAGTCCAAGTTGCCTCCAGTGATATGATAGCATGAGCTTATAAACTAGAGTTTGAATGCTTTCTTGACCTCTTACTATCTGGGTGATTATAACATCTGCAACCTTCAATCTTCTCTCATGACAGGGTTGTGCAGGAATCATGAATCGTAATGACTGACACTCAGCTGGCCCTCAATCAGTGTCCTTTCTCTCCTCCAAGAGGACAATCACTTCACCCTCAAAGACAATTTGTAAGAACTACAGTGAACATTATTTTGGTCTGAATTGTGTTCTCTCCTAATTTATATGTTAAAGCCCTAATGGCTAAATATGACTGTTATTTGGAGATAGGGTCTTTAGAGAGATCATTAAGGTTAAATTAGGTCATAATCTGATAGGACTGGTCATTATAAGAAGATGATACCAGAAATATCTCTCTCTCTCTCTCTCTCTCTCTCTCTCTCTCTCTCTCTCTCTCTCTCTCTCTCTCTCTCTCTCTCTCCTCTCTCCACGTGTGCACAGAGAAGAGGCCATGTAAGTGCATAGAGAGGAGGCAGTTATCTACAAGTCAGGAAAAGTCTCACCAGAAACCAACTGTGACAACACCTTG